TTTACCTTTTTTATCAGGTATGTCGGATTTCATGTTGTTGTTTTTATTTTATCTTATGTCAAATATGTTACGTGTAAATGCATATTTGATGTTTAATGTAAAAATAAATGCCGCCCCTTTTTCTACAATTCCCCTGTGGGAGAGGAGCTGAAGTGGGCAAATTATTTACTTGGAGGTCTTTCTTTCGTTTACCTTTTTTATCAGACACAACGCAGAATCACACCGGTTACATACACTCGACTTTGTCTACTCTGTGGTCAAGTTTGCTTGGTCCCATTAAAACCTTTAAAATCCTTTTGCTTTAAATCTTGACTCTACCAACAAAGACATTTGATGGAGTGCTAAGGAACCTGCGATTTGCCCAAGCAGAAGACAAGGCTAATTATTTACTGGCATCACTGGCTGTGTCTAAGGAAGAGGAGAAACAGGTCAAGGAAGCAACAGTTGGGCAAACGAAGAATGCATTGAAGTAAGAAAGTGCCTTGAAATTAAGTCTGTTAGGTGTTAAGCAAGAAATTTTAGTTAACTGTGTCTCTTAATTTGTCTTTGTTTATAAAAGTTCAGTATATCACAAGAGGAGAATTGCAGCCAGCAACTTTGGTTTGGTCCTGGGTGCAGTCCAGCGGTGCTCATACCCTCCTTTCTTATTTAAGACTCTGCTTAGCCAGTGCAACCTGACAGAAGGATTTAATGTAAAATGTTAGTAAATAGGGTCTGTGCTTCTGTAGCTGAGATATAATGTACTGAGTGAGTCACAGTGAACATTATCAAAAATGCATTGTGTATATAGTTTTTTTTTATTATTATGTGAATTTATTTGTTTTTTTTGTAATAATAAGGTTCCACATGTCACTGTTGTAGTGGGGCTTTATTCAGTGAGACACCGCATGTAGACTGGGGCCCTGGCCCTGTCTCAATATGCGTACTTGTGTGTACTTGCGTTCTCGTGTACTCGTGATACGTCATCAGTCGGAGACCAAGTACTGTTCCAATTCGAAGTACGCATCAAGCCGAGAACTCAAAAGAGTCCCGGATGTGTTCTCACTCCGCCCGTTTTATTGAGCATGCATCGGTGGTGACTTGTGTGGACTTGGTACAGTTAAATATCCCAGAATGCATTTCGTCCAAAACTCAAACGCGGCAATGGCTGACGAGTGGGGCTAAAAACGTTTAAATATTACTCTTTCTGGGTCACAAAATAAACTTTTAAGTTATTTTCAAGCGAGAAAGTAGCTGTGTAAACTTCAAATATCTGCTCGATTTATCAAGATATCATATATTTCGAAACGCACTCCGAAGTTTTCGGAGACGTCTGTGACCTGCCAGCTCCATAGCAGAAAGCGAGGTTGAGGAGTAGGAGCCGGCGAGAACAACGGACTCCTGGCACATCGTTTTCAACACCCCCGTGGTCTTTTCGCTACTCAGGTTAAACAAACCCCAAACCCCAGCAGCTGTCTATTGTATTGAGTGTTCACTAAAGCAGCAGTAAAAACTCCGGACCTGTGACATCATCCATTACGCTGGTGTTCCAATTGTACAAATCGCGAGTCCATGCTCGCGTGCGGTCTCCGCAAGTCCGGTGTCGCCGAGAACGTGAGTACGTACTCGCGTACTTAGAATTGAGAAAGGGCCCCTTTCTCAATATGCGTACTTGCATTCTCGTTAAGGCTGGGTATCGTCACTGATTTCTAGAATCGATTCGATTCAGATTCACAAGGTCCTGAATCGATTCGATCCACGATTCCATTCGATTCAATTCGATTTGAATCTGGGAAATTTTGCCTCAGTCAGAAATATTATAATTCAGATCAGTAAATTTACATATTTTTGTATCTATAAAAAGGAAGCTGACACTTTCCAGACTTTATCAAAGGTGTGAGCATCACAGCAGATGCCTTTGTGTCAACGTAGCTGAAGATAAAACACAGAAAAACATGAAGGTGATTTTCCTGGCCTGGGATTTTATAAAAATATTCTGCAGTACATCAAAAACGAAATAAAACCATTAATCAATTTATGAACATTACCTCTGAAGTTACAGCGGTTTTATTAGAGACACGGCTAAGCGTTTTCCATTTTGTATAATTTTAAAAAGTTTAAATTTGTTCAGAAGCCTATTGAACGGCAGAAATTAGGTTTTCTTTTCAGAAGTAAGTAAAAGGAAAAAAAAACATCGGCCGACAGCGCTGTAAACAATGGTAGTCTTGTGCGTAACAAGCAAGCGAATAATGAAGAAAACAGATTTCAGGGATAGACGGGAAACTGTTCTTGAAATGCACTGAGAAAGAGAGAGAGCTGTGCATGAAGTGTGATTTTAGGGTCTGTGCTGACGGACGTGGGTTACTGACCTGG